GTCAATAAGTTATAATTCAATTTGAATATTGCTGTAATGTAACCTACTGTGCTTCTGCCTATGTAGGTAATGCGAGAATTGACCAGCCCCGGGGTTCATCGCGGGAAAGAGAAGGACGTATAACTCGCTCTCGCTTTCTTGAAGAAGGAGAATTTTTCTTGAGGAAGGAAAATATTGTTTCTGCATAAAAAATGAGAAAACCTAACCTATCTATTTTATGAGTATATCTGTACTTGTTTCGTTGACCTGTGTAAAACTTAATGTTTATTAACACCAAATAAAATATTCTATTCTATTCTAACCTAACCTAACCTAACCGAACCTCACCTCTGGCCTAAACCACAAACATAGAAAACCCCTAAATGAACCTATTTCCCATAGAGAATATTTTTTAGAAATCACTTGAGAACAAGAAAAAAATAAAAAAAAGATGAGCCTCGCACGGATTCGAACCCCGGCCCGCCGGCTTGGCATGCCGATGCTCTGCCTACTGAGCCAACCAGTTGCTTACGAGACGAAGTATGATGAAGTACTGTGCTTCGGCTATGTGCCAAATGCATTCTCGCGAGTGAGAGGGCATTATATGTCCTTCTCTCTCCCGCGATAAACCCCGGGGCTTGTCAATTCTCGCGTAGGGCGAATGGCAAGAAAAATGTCAGCAGTCCAAGAGCTGAGTAGGTATTGAAACATCGTAAAAAAGCTCTGGTGACGAAAATGTAATAAATGTATAACTTCCAGAATATCATTTATTTTCAAAGACGCATGTAGCGGTTATAAACTTCCTAAATAATATTTATGCATCCATCGCATCGCGGGAAACATTATACCTACGGCTGCACCCTGCACGCGGGCTCGGCCAGCCGACTACGAAGGAGTGGGGTCAGTGGGGTGGCTTTTTACAGGAACGGCGTAGACCGATTCGATTACTTACGATTAGTCATTGTTGTGCTTCTCGCGTTAGGTGAGTGGTTGTCGGTTATGTTGATTTTTTTGAGTTTACATTACGTTTTCAACAGAATATAAATATTTTTTGTTCACGAGTTATTTTATTTTTATTTTCTTTCATTTTATTTTTTCGACTTTCTTGTTATTATTTTTTTATACCAACTAACCCTTATCCACCTCCTTTTTCTTTCCCCATTTCCCCTGGCGAGAATGCTCTAACCTCGTGGTTCTTGCTGGACAATTTAATTTTTTGGTTATGTGTACAGGGTGATTCACCATAAATGTCCCCCCCTCTAGCTCAATTATTTTTAAACCGATTTCAAAATTTGAAATATCATCTTGAATGATTTTTGATTGAGTTTTTTTCCGCTACATCAGAAAATACAGGGTGCTCAGAACAAACGATCTACAGGGTACCATTTGATTTTTTTATATGGAACACCCTATTTTTCATTGTATTTTTATTTTTAGATTCTCCCTGAAAAGCTGATTTGCTCAATGTATCACACTTGGGGTCTATCGGGAATGATTACAGAGATATAGGGCATTCAAAATCGAGATTTTTCAACTTTAGGATTTTTTTGAGACGAAACTATTCATCATCGGTCAAAACGGCTTTCATGTCCATATCTCAACTTTTGATTTACTATCTACTGACATTTAATAATTGGAACAGATACAGGGTGATCAGAATTCTGAATCTTGAACCACCCTGTAAATGTTCCAATCAAATCTCAATAGACAGTTAATCAAAAATTAAGATGGAAACATAGGAGCCGTTTCGACCAATAATGAATAGTTTCGAGACAAAAAAATCCTAAACTTGAAAAATCTCGATTTTGAACACCCTATATCTCTGTTATCATTCCCGCTAGACTCCAAGTGTGATGCATTGATGAAATCAGCTCTTCAGGAAGAATCTAAAAATACAATGAAATACAGGGTGTTCCATTTGGAAAAATCGAGTAGTACCCTACCCTGTAGATCATTTGTTCCGAGCACCCTGTATTTCCTGATGCAACGGGAAAAAAAATTCTGAGAAATCATTTTAGATCATCCTTCAAATTTTTAAATCGGGTCAAAAATAAGTGAGCTAGAGGGAGAATGGACAATTATGGTGAATCACCCTGTACATGCTTATTTGCCATCGAACTTCACTCAAGCCGCTGACCCACTTACGTTCGCATTTTAGAGCAATATTTATACCCTGGCCGACCCAGGTTCTGAGGGCACGAGCCGTCACTGCTTGGGATTGGAAAAATGTTTGTGTTATTTGATACAGATGAATAAAATACAAGAGTCAGTGTGTGAAATTTTAGTTAATATTGATGGGCTGCCACTCAGTAAGAGTTCCAGTAGTGAGCTTTATCCGATTTTAGTGTCATTGTATAAGTATCCTAATGTTGTGGGTTTGGTAGGCTTGTATCATGGATACAAGAAACCAGAAAATCCCAATTTGTTTTTGGAAGATTTTGTTCAGGAAGCTTCTCGATTAGTTGAGTCTGGATTTATGATAAATAATGTTCAATTCTCTATGAAAATTAAAGGGTTTATTTGTGATGCTCCAGCAAAAGCATTCATTAAGAATATTAAAAGTACCATACAGGATCATTTTCTTGTACAAAATGTGAACAAGAGGGTGAATTTATTAACAATAGAATGTGTTTTCCTGATTTACATTCTACAGTTCGCACAGATGAACATTTCCTGACAAAAAGAAATGAAGAACATCACAGGGGAACTAGTATATTGGAAAACATTCCTGAATTTGGTATGATAACTGGTTTTCCCCTGGACTATATGCATCTGATTTGTTTGGGTGTGATGAAAAAACTCATTTCAGGATTATGGTGCAATGGTCCTCCTCCACATAAGTTATCTGCACATCAAGTGCAGGAGTTATCAGATTCATTAGTATCTCAGTCGAAAAATATTCCTATGGAGTTTTGTAGAAAGCCTAGGCCTCTCAATGAATGTAAACGCTGGAAAGCGACAGAATTCCGGCAGTTCTTATTTTATACTGGCCCTGTTGTCCTCAAAGCTCACTTGCCCCGTGATAATTATATCAACTTTTTGTCATTACATGGAGCACTTTCGATTTTGGCCAATTCCAAGTCTTCTGTTGATAAAATTGATTATGCTCATTCGTTGTTGATCTATTTTGTACAAACCTTCATAATTCTGTATGGTAGACATTTAGTTTCCCATAATATACATAATTTAATCCATCTCACAAGTGATGTGAAATTGTTTGGGAATTTAGACTCATTTGGTGCTTTTCAGTTCGAGAATTTCATGCAAGTTTTCTTGAAATACACCAGAAAACCAGATAATCCAATCTCACAGATTGTGAAGCGTTTTCAAGAAACAATGAAAGCAAATGAAAATGTATTAAATTCTGAAATTATAGTTCTTGGGCCTGCAAAGGAACATTCTGCTGGTCCCCTTACTGAAAATTGTAATTCTCCTCAATACATGGAATACAGGTGTCCAACATTTTGCATTCAAATTACACATCCGAATAATTGTTTGAGGTTGAGAGATGGGTCTATTATTGTTGTCAGGAATATTGCAACAAAAAATGATAATCTTATGGTGATTGGGCAGAAATACAATAATTGTCAAGATTTTTATCTGCAACCCTGTCCTTCTTCTTATACAGGAATATATGAAATTTCTGATATAGGTGAACTTGAATGTTGGTCATTGGAGGATGTATCTATTAAATATGTAAAATTGAGTTTACCTAGTAGTGATGTTGCTATTCCTCTACTACACTGTGAACAATGATTTAATTTCATATATTATATTATGTTTTCTAAACTTGTGTCAAAAGTTCAAGGGGTGATATTCTTTGGGTTGAAATAAGAAAAAAACTGACTAGCATTATTTGTCTAGAATCACTTGAATTTTTGACACATGTTCATGAAACGCCCTGTTTATGGCTACAAATACTCATCAGAAATTTTGCATCATTGTACTTATAAACATGTATACTTAATAGGAAATTTTCAAAACTACTACTCTCAGTTTATGGGTGAAGTGTTCAGTAATGAAAATAGCTGCCTACTGTCGTTATTCAACAATAGTTTGTTTTCATGGCCATTTGATTTATTTTTCATGTTTTTTTTTTGTATTGGATAAGATGATGTATTTGCATGTTTGCTATTTGCATTTTCTCTGAATATTTTTGAAATATTTTATTGTGATGTATAGGACCAAAATGAAATTTACTGCTTTAGCAAAGTTAATGAGAATGCCAAAATACCTCCGGTTCTGCCAAAAATGATACCAACTTCTGATATTCAAATTCAAATGGAACACACTGTATATTATTTTATGTTGGGTTAGGGATTATTATCAGGATTTCAGATTTCTAGAATACCATGGCACTTGATAGGAATATGTCAAATGAGTACAGAGATATTAGCATAAGAAACTCTTTCATATGCCCAATGAGTATGATAGAGAAAGTTCAAAATACCTCCATCAAACTTGATATTGCTGAACTTCCAGTTGTAATTCCCAACAAAATATTAAATATAATATAGGGGGTTCTATTTGAATGATGAAAGTTGGTGCTATTTTTAGTGAAACCTATAGTTGAATAGTGTTTCCCTTGACATTATTATTGGATGATGTATATCCAGAACATATTCCAAACAAAATATTAAATATTATAGGAAGTTATATTTGAATGATAAAAGTTGGTGCTATTTTTAGTGAAACCCATAGTTGAATGGTGTTTCCTGTGACTTTATTATTGGATGAGAAATCACATTTTAGTTTCACATACAAATGAATTCTATAATTTGGTAATCTGTTGCCTACAGTATATTGTTTAATTATCTGAAGTATTTGATTTCGTATCGAAATTGAACTTGCTCATGTGAACTATGGTTTTAATATGCGAAGCATATTCTGGAACACCCAAATCCATAACTGATGTTGCATCATCCATTACTTATTTGGATCAGTGTTCTTGAATTTGTAGATGGTCTGAAATTCGATTCATTTCAATGCTGTATCGACTTTTTTAGAAAAACAATTGAAATATGTGGACTGTAGTTATATTCGTTGAGGAGAATTCAATTGAGACTGTTCCTCTAAAATGGCTCATAGGAACTGAAGAAAATTTGAGCTATTGGCCAGCAGTGAAGGGTATAAAGTTAAATTCTATGATTGTCAACTGTGCAGAACCAACGAGAGATTGGGAAATTTTCGAAATAAGGTTTCCTAATAATAACAAAAAAACATATGGTGAGATATATAACATATTCAAACAAATATTGATTTACAAATTGTTTGAATGTTGTCAATAGTTTTCTGAATAATTTTGTACTGTGAATTACTTTAATATAACCTTGTAGAAAATTTTCTCAAGGCTCGGATGGCTTGTAGTAGGATGGCTGAAGATTCAGATGTTCTTTCTGAAGGAGATTCGCTCAAGAGATCAAGAAAACCAAAAAAAATTTATAGCAGTGACGAGGAGGAAGGTTGTTCACAAAGTCGATTACCACATCCACCAGCTCTACCTGACAAATGTAAGTATAGCAAAATCATAGAATTCATAATTATATGAACATTCTGGAAATATGAATACACTAAAAATTTCAGCTTTCGTATCACCATCGACAAGTAAATCAGTAGTGACACAAAATTCAATGATTGATAAAGACATTTCCTTACCAAGAAGCAATTCAAAAGTCAATATAATTGGTACGTTTTTATCAAAATCTGTATTATGAACTGGATATATTTGATTTTATATCCCTTCAGTGATTGTATCAGAATGTTCCAATATGAAATATCACTGCAAATTTGATTTTACTGTATGTATAAAAAATCTTTCAGCTCTGATTTTATATCCCTTCAGTGATTGTATCAGATCAGAATGTTCTAATATGAAATATCACTGCAAATTTGATTTTACTGTATGTATAAAAAATCTTTCAGCTTTCGTGCCACCATTAAAAAGCTCTTGCTCAGGGCTTGATGTTCATGTTGATGATGATGTAGACATTTCATGTCCATCAACAACAAGTAGTATGTGTAGTGTTGAAATAATTGGTATGTATTCAACATGAATACTGTTCTACAACATTTATGATTGCACGATTATTTGAATTTCAGATCATTTGTCAGATGTGGACTCAATCAGTATGGATAACATGGGTAAAGAAAACTCAGAGTCGACTCCATCAATATGTAGAACAGTTAAACAAGTGCATGGAACACCAAAAAATGTGAACCACAAACAACTTAATCAGTCTGGTGAGTTTGGTACAATTTTTCATTTATGCTCAGATGATACAGTAAATAAATATTGGACAACTTATATGGAAACATGAATATGTTTTTTTTCTCAATATGAACATACAAATCATGAAATTAATAATTTATGTAGTACTTATAGGAAGAAATATGTTTCAGATAACCGCATACTACGGCAGTTAGTTGTATTGAATCACAAAGTTGATATGCTATCCTCAGACATAACAAAAATATTAGAAAAAATGACCACGGATAACACATTAATACCTGATGAAGATGTGGAAATGGAAAATTATTTCCCAATAAAAACTGATGAGGAACTCAATAATTTTGAACTATATTTATTCAATGATAGAAATCACCAAAAATTTGTAAGATACTTATTCAATGTTTGAATTGAAACCTAATTTTGATAATGAAATATTTTTTTATGTATTGAAGACTCAGTATGTCACCAAGTTGGGAGGTTCAACTTTATCTGAAGCTGTTAGAAGAGCAATGGAGAGGACAGTTAAAGATGAACTCATCCAGCAATTCAGTTGGATGGGTCAAAAACAGAAAAACAAATTTGGTGATTTAAAAATTGCCCAAGCAATGAAAGGTAATGCAATTTTCTGATCTTAACATGTTAATTGATGTTTGAAAAATATTCAGATGGAATCAAGAGGAACGTAATACTCAAGGATTCAGTCACTGAAGCAAGTATCGAGTCGTGCATGAAGAACTGCCCACACAGCACGTAGACGTCTCAAAGACGTCTTCAAGACGTCGATCCGAGGCGTTCGAGACATCTTCAAGACGTCCAGTTAAATCTTAAAGACGTCCAAAAGACGTCTTCAAGACGTCCGTTGTTACAAATCTGTACATCTTGAAGACGTCTTCGATACGTCCAATACGACATAAATAGACGTCTTTAAGACGTCTCCCAAGACGTTCGGCATGTCTTGTAGACGTCCCAGAAGCGTCTTCAAGACGTCCGTTATTATAAAACCTGACGTATCCAAGACGTCATTATTCAACTATAAAAAATATATATTATGACTATAAAAAAATCTAGAAAATTAGTAACTGATATCTACCAATATTTTTTAGTCTGAAAAATATTGGTAGATATCACAGTTACTAATTTTCTAGATTTTTTTATAATTACATAACTTTGAGCTCACTTATCTCAAGACAATGAAAACGTAACTTGTAAACTTTTTATTCTAACCCCTTCAATTCATCACTTAATATCTCAAGACAATGAAAATGTAACTTGTATCCTTTTTATTCTAACCTCTTCAATTCATTTTCTGGGTATGAAGTGGAACCAAAAAAATACTCGAAAGCAAAACATCCTTTTATAGTTTTTTATTTTCCTTTGACAATTTTCTGTCACACGCTCTTCTGAGCCAACCCTGTATAGATGCTTCTGACTCCTTTCGATCATTGAAAACTCTGTTAAGTTGCACCTAGAAAAATACAAATGATTGAATGCATTGTGAATCATATAGTCTGGTTGGGAAATTATTTCATCAGTTTGTTGATGGTTAAATGAATCAATGGAAATAATAGAATAACTAGCATCATGAAAATCATGACTGTCTGCAATGTTTACATCCTCGTTTACATTATCGTTCTGTATTGAATCGTTACTGTCATTACTATTGAGATCATCATGATATCGATCATGATATTATTGGGATTAATATTAACAATATGTTGTTCATTTCCACTACTTCCCGCCGCCATTATGATGGAGGTTGAACTTTCATCCTTCAACTTTTGCCTTTTGGCACGCATATAATATTTCTGATGATGAGCCATTATATGGAATCAACACGTTTCCTACGAAATTTGACTCACCTCAACTGGTTTTCACTGCTTTTTCACTAGATGATGCACTCAAACTCAAACAATCAACAGATAAAATATAAAATTTCCAAAGCATTCGATGGCTCTTTACTCGAAGTTCGATGTCGTTGTGTCGCAATGGTCGCATACACGGCGGTGTTGCAGTTGCACAGTTCGTCGTCACAGGTCGCAGAGCACGGGAATCGGAGCAAATCGCGAAACCGTCGAAGCTCTGTCTCACTCAGTCTCACGTTATGGTCAAGAAAAGAGACTCATCAAGGAAGTGGCCTGATTCTTTCAAAATTGGTTGAGAACTGACTTTTTTGTCAAATTCCTATTCTAATAGTTTAAATGAAACAGAAAACTAATCATGAGTAACTCTAGGAGAAATTCATTGTTTTAGTTATTTCTCTATTCGACTAGTAGATATGGCGAAACTTTTCGTGAATAATTTTTACCCCCAACCCATTTAAGATCCAAATTAGGAGAATAGCCAATCACAGATTGAAGGTTCTTCACATTTTTGTTCATCTCATTTTGCAAACACCTGAATTCAACTGTTTAATAAACTTTGACTTCATTGAGACTTTTTTAAGACATCTTCAAGACATCTTTTTCTGGACGTCTCTAAGACGTCCTGAAAAAGACGTCTTTAAAACGTCGGTTTTATGCCTGTGGACGTTCAGGCATCATATGGACATAAAATGGACGTCTTCAAGACGTCAGGTGCTGTGTGGGATGGATGCGGCATGCTAAAGATAGATTGCAAAAAAGAGCAAAGAAAGCCACTACCATTGATAGGTGAGCTGCAGTATCAATATGTATATATATATATTTTTTTTCACAAAAAAGACTGGGCTTTCTTATGATTGTTTGAAAAATTCACTGACATACATTTTGTGCTATATTCATTACCTATCTAAAATTCTTTAAATTTTTGTTCCAGGTAAAATGGATTTGGTATGCACCTGTTCTCATTTTCTCAATTTTGTTCCTGAATTTATCTTTGTGATGTTTACTTTCATTCCATTATTATTATTTTTTTATCAGAATGCTCTTTTATTTTGTATTATTCTTATTATTATTATGTTATTGATTTTTTAGCTGAATGCTTTTTATTTTGTTTTATTGTTATTGTTATCATTATGTTATTCATTTTTTAGCCGCGTGCTTTTTTATTTTGTATAATTATTATCAGTATTATTAGAAAAATATATTGAAGACGCGAGGTTGGAACAAATTCATTTAAAAGTCAGCAGTTTGTTTTTTGGGAAAACGCCCAGCATTTTTACTTTCGGCTTAGGTTTTTCTGACGGTAAATTCATGTATATGTAGGTATATGGTGGCTCAAAAATGTGTTATGACCGCATCAGCTGGATTTTTTCAAAATATTTATGTTATTTTTGAAATCCGCATATAATTCTTGATATCTTCCATGTACTGATGGTTGTAACTTTTTTCTGGGCCACTCTGTATATATACATGAACCCACAATCAGATAACAAATCTGCGCGTTATAGCGTTTTCCCAAAAAGTTAACTGCTTGAAAAACTGCCACATTTGGTACAAATGATAGTCAGGGTGAACGAAAGTTTTCAAATTGACACTGTGTATATATTCTGAGTTGATATAAATTTGTTTCACTTTTCAATAAATACTTGTTATGTTACTGATTTGTCTTGCCTTTATATTTTACAGGGTATAAATAAATGAGTGCAGAAAATATTGACAGGTGATTTTTTGTCGAAAAATAGGGGAGTCTTTTACATAATATGAAAATAAAGCAACCCTTGTTTAGGAAGAGCCCCCTGGAGAGTAGGCCAAAACAGCGCGCAGATTTTTTTCTGAAAAATCAGAAAGTTAGAAAATGGACTTATTTAATTTATTTGTCCATTATATAGGTTTGTAATGAAAATATCAATATGATGGTCGCCTGTACTAGATGAATTTTGATTCGAATAAAATTCTCTACTCTATGCAAAATTATCTAACATTAACATACCTAATTAATATTTATTTTCTCATGAATTGTTGATTCTTAACAATTTTTATAGGAATGGCTTTTTCTACCCTTTGCAATTATAGGGGAACAGCATCAAAATATTTATTGGGTGCACTGTCCGTAGTAAGAAATGTCTGCCCAATTTCCTTCCTCTGTAACTTGTATAAAAAATAAACGCCATTTGCTGCCCTCAGGGTGCTGAATCTAATAAACAAAGGTTGCTGAGCTTCATATTTCTTATATGAAAGACCCACCCGGTTTTTCTACAAAGAATTGCCGATTGAATTTTTCGCATTCATTCGTTTTACATCCTGCCCATTTATTGAATATCCATAAAAAGTCATCAAAAGATGTCCTAGGGACATTTTTGAAAACTGCCTAAAGTTGTTCCCATAACGTCCTATACATGTCCCAGAAGACCTTATAGGGATGTTCTAAGACGTTATTAGGATGTAGAGAACGGTAACAGGAGGACGGTCTAGGAACGTCCTCAGGCTCGCCCTCGACGTCCTGAGGACATTATTGTGAACGCCTCAGAAGAGCCTCAAAAGGTATTTGTGCTATCTGGGTCCTTTCGCTGTCAACCTCGAAAGATGTCGAACAGCACTTTATCAAGACTCCTTCATCCATAGAACGGCTAGGCTCTGGAATTCATTGCCTGTGGAAGTATTCCCAACAACATATAATCTCCAACAGTTCAAAAAAAAATCCAATACCTACCTCCTGTCCCTATCCTCCCTAGGAACGCACGATGTTCTTTGAACATTATAGGGATTCCCTTTCGTGCGCTCCAAGCGATAAAAAAAAAAAGATCTTTCATGACTCGTCACAGCTTCCTCATTAGTTCGAGGTTCATTGATGGCTGCATAGGCAAACTCATATCTGGATGGGCGATTAATTTTTGTACGATCTCGAAGTTGACGACCTTGATTCTGATTTCCATCGTGATTTGTATCTTCTACGCCATCATCTTGACTGATTTCGTCTTGTATCAGGACCTGTTCTGTTTCAGATGTTGAATCTTCTTGAACTATTCCTGATATTTCTGGCGCTCTGGAGGAACAGGGATCATCGTACAAGAAGACTTCATTGGCATTACTGCTTATGGGTGGACTTTTCAGACACTTTTCGTTGAAGACCACATCTCGTGCGACAGATATTCTCTTTGTTTTAGGATCAAATAGTCGATAATTTGAACTATTACCGTCATAACCGACAAAAACTAGGTTTCTCGATTTGTTTTCAAATTTGGTTCTCAACTGCTTCGGCACATGGGAAAATGATTGGCTACCGAATTTCTTCAAGTGACTGAGTTTGAGCTGTTTCCCAGTCCACATTTCACGGTGTTTTGTCATTATTTTGCTTGCAAGGTCTACTGTTGAGAATGTATACCGTATACCGCTGTATTCACGGCCTCTGCCCATAATGATTTTGGTAAAGAAGTTTCATTCAGCATCGCTCGAGCAGTATCAACAATCGATCTCAGGTCCCTTTCGGCTTTGCCATTTTGTTCTGGCGTATATGGTACACTAGTTTCGTGAATTATACCGGTTTTCTTGAAGTAATCTTCGAAACTACGATTCACATATTCCTTGCCGTTGTCAGTGCGAAGAATGTTGATGTTATTTCCAGTCTGCCGTTCAATAAGCTTCTCAACTTCCAGGAACTTCGAAAAGACGTCGGATTGGTGTTTGATGAAATAGACTTGTCGGTAGGAGGTACACTCATCCTTGAATAAAACGAAATATTCCGCACCACCCAAAGAAGTTGTAGTCATTTTTCCACATACATCAGAATGGATGAACTCGCCTTGCTTGTATTGATGAGGTGTACTCTTA